CTCAATGCCTGTCGCGTTTCGATTGGTTTCCCTTTTCGTTCATCAACAATTCATGGGCTAATGCTTATTGGTCGGATACTGTTTAGCTGTTGCTTCCGTATGAGCCAGTCGCATTTTTCCATGCTTCCAGAGTAGTTGCGCGTTTTCAGTGCTACCTTGAGCCAATCATGTGTCAGTGGTCCGACCCATTGTGATCGCGGTTACTTGCTTGTGACATTGGCTGGTTAACTGGTAATACACAATTGGTCAAGTTCCCCATGGTAACAGGAACTCAATGGAATTTTGCATTTGCAGCAGTACATTAGCCGGCTTTTGGTACGCCCTTCAACAGGAGTCATTTTATCGGTAACCGGCGCTTATATCAATGTCTGCATGCATTTCGAATCAGTTCATTTACTTGGCTGTCGTCTGGTAGTTTAAGAGTGATTGTTGTAATTGTCCACAGTTTTTGCCATCGGGAATCTGTAAAAGCTATTTTCGCGAAAACGCAATCAAAACAACCTTCGATAGATGGCCGATATCTTGACTATCACAAATTCGCGGTAATCAGACCGCTGCTTAGTGCAACGCTGCGCACCCTGCCGTTGACCGACAAACCGCTATCCTGTCATTCCTGTAGGGGTTTGAGCCCTTCCGATGCGCATAGTACTCTCTTATGCAACGCATACCGGTGCCTTCTTCGTTCTTTGATCCCCACCTTAAAGGTGTGAAATGCCGCAATAGGACTGGACACACCTACCACCAGTTCCCAGGTGTACTTACCTAGTTAGGTATGTATCGTCTCTGCTGATCACGTCATCCGCATTGCTCTTCCGCCACGTGCGGTTCGACGAACTGAGTGCCGAATCGGTTGAGCAGGATCCGGGCGATCAGTTTACCCACACAACTCAGCAAGTTGATGCCACGATATTTCATGCAACATCGTTTGCCCTTGTACATTGTTAGTACGAGCGCATCCTTCATTTCGACCGGCGCTTCCTCTTCAATATGCACGCATTGCACCAAGTGGTGCAGTGCATATACCAACGTGCGTCCGCCTTGTCTCAATACATCTGTTGCTATCCAGTCGGAACTGACACATTGCCGTTTCGCAGCGGAGCAAGGGCTCTCTGCGTCACAAGAAATGTTGGTGTGTCAATACATATCTTCATCTCTTACTCTTGCAGCCCGTGCAACGTAGGCCATTCAATCTTCGAACGGTTTTTCAAGCGACAGTCAGGGTTCTTTCGCCAGATGCGCATTATTTCTTCTGTCTGTGCATGCAACGCCTGATGTAGCATCGAGCAGCATCCTCAGCGGCTGTAACGTGAGTTTATACACTGCCTTCAAGGAGTCAAGGAATTCCTTATATTGGAGGCGTTCGGCGTATAATTTTCTCTGATTCGTCGTCTCCCTCCACTACGCATTCTTGATGCAACGGAGTTTTCAATCCAGCCGCCTTCGAGCTTTGCGAAAATGAACCTCCTTTTCGCAGTTAGCAGGATCCGCCTACGTATGTAGTGAACGATGCATTCTTCGCCAATGCTTCAGTCGCACTATTGTCAGCAGATCAATCGAACCGCTTACAGTTTACGCGCCCGATCCTTTTCTCGGCAGCTGCCGTCACCTGCACTATACCCTTTTTTCTTATTCTTCCTCAGTAAAAGGTCTTCATAACTCGGTTCAGTTCAGTTCTGCTGAACAACTATGATCCGAGTACCGAAGTGCGGTGGATCCAGTTACCACGACTCACATCGTAAGAATAACAATAATTGACAACGACGAAATAGTGGAGTTGAATGCAAATAGGATGTAAAGAAATAGCAGCAAGAAGGAAGTGCATTGAATTAATCAGAATGGAACCAAAGTTAACAACCAGATGCAAGAATCCGAATGCAGTAGCACCACTGACTGCGTGATTGCGCCATATCTGTTACAGCCTCCACCCATTGGCGTGGACTATCCAGAGGCCCCCATCCGCGAAGACGACATGCATCAGCCAGACTAAATCTCAATCAATTTCTTAATGCGTCTAAACCACCTCATGGATTGGACACCGCTTTTTCGCCCAACTTGGTGCGGCCACGGCGTATAATGACCATCGAGGAAGCAGGTCGATGGGTATACTAAGTGATTTAGATTCAGCAAACATTCGAGTGGGACACCAAAACACTTCTTGCCAAAACCAACTGACGGACCTCAGCATTGTTTACCCAGTGTTCTCACCAGACGTGAGCAATACTCCGCAAACATCGGTGGTCAAACACGGCCAAGCTTTTAATTTCTTCGCCACGAACTGGCCATCTATCTGATCCATACTGTAAGACCGGCCTTACCGCAGCGTTCTACACCTTACTTTCATTGACAGGCTGATATCCCGCTGTCTCCATAGATGGTTGAGTCTCTGGAAAGCTACCCGCACCTTATTGATACACAAAGTAACTTCCTCAGTGCTGTGACCACTAGAGGTGAGACAGCTGCCAAAGTAAGTGAACCGACCCACAAATTCCGGTGGCTGTTCGGTGGTGAATAGAACCGGAAGTGTCGGCCCAGTCCTGCAGCAGTACATTGCACTTTGAAAATGCAAAGCGCATGGTGAAGCTTGCAGCACTACTCATCAGTCTATCCAGCAGTGTTTGCTTAGCAACTGCGTCGGACCCTAGAAGAAATATGTCGTCCGCCTATTCCAGGTTTGTCAGTCAGTCACCTGGCAAAACTTCCACTCCGGTAGAGTCTGAAAGAAAGCAGTCCCTGCTGAACATTTCGATCACAAAGTTGAAGAGGAAAGGAGATATGGGACAACCCTGGCGAGCCCCACTTATCATGGGGAACTCAGGAAACATTTTCCTGTAGACCGCCTCGGGAGTCACTGTAGAGGGACTGCATAATGGAAAGGAATTTTGCCGGCACGTCCTTTATGGGTAGGCAGTGCCACAAGCTAGCGCGGTCAACAGAGTCGAAGGTGGCTTTCAAGTCAGGGGAAATCACCGTAGTCGGTGGTCTCTATATCTGCTCTAAAACTTAGCGTAGAGTAAACATATGGTAGTTACAACCACGACAAGGTTTTCAGTGATTCAGTTCTCACGGACACCAGCAATTTGTCGAAGGATGATACCGTGGGAAATTTGGAGACAATGAAAACAGGGCTAATTCCTTTATGATTTTCGCAAAAAGTACGCTGACCTTTCTTGAAGATGGGCACGACAGTCGCCATTCTGAAGACACCTCTTCACTGTTCCAAATCGTGTTAAATAGAGAAGCAAGTTCAGTCAACAAGTAGTCACCACCATATTTTTCAGTAAAGGTGGAAAATACTCGTCGAGTCCAAGAGCCTTCCTAATTGTGTGGCAACAAAACATGGACACAGTGTATTGATGTGCCGCTGCTGAATCACTTTGCTCATTTGATCGTTGCTCCGAACAACATTTCCCGCGTCGTCCCAATCATCTAGCTGCCTTCTTGCCATACCCTGCGGAGTTACCGTGCTATGCACCTCGTTGACTGCTGTTCCCTGTTTCGCTGTCACTTTACTGATTCATCAAGTGGCCGTTGTCAAAACGTGCTGATGATCACTTAGACACAATATAAGGGACAGTTTCGCTCGGTATTTTGAGCAACGCGTCGAACTTCCGGCTCAATTCGGAACAAACCTGGAGGTAACCTGTGACACTTATCAACCGAGTATGAAAACAAATTCTAACCATATTCGCTCACTATGAAGCAACCGAATCTACAAAATACGCGGTCGAGTTGCAAATTCCCGCACTTGCGGCTACGCACATAGAACACGAAGAGCAGACTCAGCGCACGATGTCACACCGACGTTTGTATGGCGTCACCTAACACCATGAAGTGACGTAACCTCTGTACATAGAATACAGAACGGTGGATCGACATACAGGCGGATTCAAAAAGGCAAGCAGCGATAGCACAAGCTGTTAGGAGGAGCACTTGTCCCTCAGCAAGGTCGCACAAGTCCTGATCCAGACATCGTACTTTTGTGAGGGCACAATCCAGACACACCCACGCTCATTTCTGATACGCCCACAATTCCACTTGCTCCGACACACATTACGTGTACATTCTATTGTCATGTACACGATCACTGGGACCGTATTCTTCCGCTTTTCTTTGTATTCGCGTCCGCAGTCTATGTCGCCAGTCTCGGTATAGAATTGTGGCTGTGTGCCCATGTAATCGCCTTTCCGCTGGGTCGCAAAAGTACTCAGCTGAAGACCAATCTTCTCTCGGGTTGGGTGCGTGGGTGGCAAGCGGTACCCAGCGTGAGTATCGACTAGTGCATTCCGTCTAGTTCGCAAGTATCGACAGTGTGTTTCGTCTCGTTCTGGGTACAAGTTACGCGGGTCCGTACTGTTCGTGCCGACCGTACCGCTTAAGCCGACTAGGACAATCGCATCGACTAGACTGTGATATTACAAGCCGAATTTGGCAGATATTTGCAGATCTCGATCCCAGTGAGTTCATGAAACTGACGGCGGGAATAGCGACGAAGAAGCGGCTCCCAGACGCATACGAAGGCGTGGACCAATCGAATACAAACCGAGTTTGGTAGGTGTAACAAGTCACAGCTGCAGTGCTCCCGAGCGTAAATCAAATGTCCAACCATCGGCTTGTCTGGCAATTGTGCCGTTTACACCAAAGTTCTGCATCTCCGCGGCCTTCACTCCAAAACCTCTTGATCGATTAGTTTAAACGACTGGGCTTCCTTACGTCATGAAGTTTCTGTTACATCACGCAACCTCACTGTTTGTCTCTGTTGCAGGCTTCTTGGTCGCACTCAGACATTATTGGTGCCTTATCCAATTGTGCTATTGACACCGGCCGGTAGGTAAACTAAATTCAGATTTACCTGGATAACGCAGATAGATAATGAATGTTACCCGTCCGAAAACACCCGGATTACATTTTACTCATTAATCATAGATCGATCTCGTTCACACTGATTCCTCATAATTTGCCTCTTTAATGAGTCTAATCGTTTTGCTTTGCCTTTATCATAGGGCCATGCGCTACGGCTCCTTCTGAACTTGTTTTTTCAATTCGCTTTATCGTCACCGATGGCAGTGGTGGTGCCTTGGTTCAGTTGGGCCCGAAAATACCCCCTCTTCGTTGCAATCCCGCCGATCTCTACTCGGACTCCGCCGGGCAGTCCAACGAACATGCACGATTGTTGTTTGGATTGAATCCGACCTCTTGGGACCGCCTTCTCACACAAATTGCAGGGTTTGTCACATATCCTGATTACCAATTTGCTGTGCGCTTCGAGGAGACTGGGACCTCGGATAGTCCGACTTTGGCGTCTGCTCTCCGAGTGTTTCTAACCTCTCCTGCATTTCTTCGCCCACATCTATTACATCTGCGTAGATTACCAGCACCCGGTAAATCTGTCCCTCGTTGGCGTTTAAGGGACCTGCGTCTTACTAGCTCGGATGACACGTCCGCCCAGTCGAGCCGAACAGAGACGCTGAGCATCGTTCTTCCCCCACTTCAACTGTGCGCACTTTTGGCTGTTGAGCCTTTTGATGCATGAGTTTTTTTTCATATTTTTAAGTTCTTTCATTTCTCCAGAGCGAACTACCTGTTTTTCTATGAGTATATGCACCTTATCTTATTTTTGTATACCCGATTTGATTATTCTACAGAGTTTCAAATATACTGTTCACTTTTTATCTTCAGGCTGTATGAGGAGAACTCTCTTATATGGTCGAATTCGTACTGACGAAGCTAACTTTGAATCAAATGCATCCTACGAAACGTCAATATTGAGTACTTGTAGGATAGGAAATCTAGGCTATATACACACAATCTGAGCAGAAAACAGATGGGCACACGAGTTATAATGTTGAGAGATAATTTCCGGACAAGACAAATAGTGGCGAACAAGCGTGTTTTCAGGGTTACATCATCAGGCTAATATAACCACAACAATGCAGGCTCGAATACACAAGTGGTTTTAGCGCGGTGAGTCACGGAAGTAAAGTATCTAATCAGTAGGACTACGTGATTGGTCTGGTTGGTGTGAGGTCGAGTGAAGTGGCGTGACCGCCATCATTAGTCATGCTAGCCTATGCTCAAGGTACTGTGCACAGGTCCGGGTTATGGAGCCGAATTTCCATCGCCTCTGCTGTCGGCAACAAGCGACATCTGACCGCTCGTGTGTAACGTCCGGGTACACAGTAGATTAGTGTGAATGCCTCGTGCGAATTTCTTTGGTGTTCGGAGTCTACTAGGTGCGACAACACTGCATTCGTTACATTCTTCCTCACGCCGCCGTAGAATCCAACTGGATAGTCCTCTCGTGCTCTAATGGACCGTCGCCGCGTCGTTTTCCTAATATACCTTGCTCGACACGAGCAATAAAAATTGTACTCACAGAAGAAAATCTGGGACAGAGGTATCCTGTCCTTCAGTTGCTAGCGCGCAATCGATGTTGAGGTAAAGGTTACAGGCAGATCGGCAGCAAAAGACATTTTCGCTGTTGCTTTGGGATGCCTTCGGGTGGTCCATGCTGCTATCGTATCACTCTTAAACGGTAATGATAAGTGTATTAACCGCTTCTCCGCGGAAACGGATTTTAGCCTTGGTACTCGCGGTTCCATGAGCCTCTGGATGAATTTTTCGGGGTATCCATTACGCTCGAACACGCTACGGATAAAGCACAACTCATCTGAAAACGTATCTTCTGTACCTATCCTCCTCGCTTTCTTCATTAGGTAACGGACGATATTTCGTTTCTGACTTATCGGAACAAAACTAGCGTAGTGGATATATTGCTCATTCCAACTTTCCTATCTGTGCACTCTCCTCCGCATTGCCCTTCTGACGCCCTATTGATTTTGACATAAAAATGTCAACCAGTCGTTAAGTATGCGAGTGTTTCACTCAACCTTTAGTTTTTGAATGCACAAATTTTACTCGCACGAATGCACAATCGCTTGCTAGGAGTAGCGGTGATGAATGTTCAAAGTGAAAGGACCAGCGCAGCAAAAGCTTAATGTTATTACAGCCTTTTTGGTACCCATACGAGTCTATTTGTGTTAAGTTATTTGCGTGCGCTTGGTTACGGGGAACTTTTACGACCTTAATCATTAACAGATACTACAAACATATAGCACGGGCTGCTTGCGCACTTTGAGGTTGCTGTTTAGGCCTTTGTTTTTGCATATTTATAAGACCAGAGTTAAAAATTCTAAATCGTTAGCTGTACGCTGTAATGGCGCTTCGGTCCCGCGCGACCACCACCAGTCGCGCGTGGGCTGTCTATACCGCGAGAACGCGCGCCCTTACGCGCATTGGTGATTTTATGATTGCAAGCGAGGCTGGCAGATCACTCGGCCACCGGCCGGGAACAGATTTTGAGAGCCACCTGTTGGTAGTTTTCGGTTCTTCTTGTGCGGGGCCTCCAAATAGTCCACTGCCGTTTTCCCTATAAAAAACCGCTTTTACCTTGTCTCTGTAGGTGTATTTTAACGGATGTTTCGGCTAAACTATTTCCAAGATCACTTAGCTCGTCCTGCTCCACCGATTTTTCAAAAAAATACTACGCACATTTCGCAATTTGTTACTTTCGGCAAAAGGAAGTCCGTTAGCACGGGACGATTTCATAGATTTTTGTCCCGTCAGCCGGATAAAACTCCCAATAATTCTCCCCAGCAATGTGTAATCGTTGCTCGAAGATGAAGGGATATGTGCCCAAGTGACATCCGTGTACCCGTTTTGTTTTGTTTTCCCATTTGTGTAATGATGCTATTTAATTTTGTGGTCTTAGTTCATCTGCAGTTTATGGTGTAAAGTACTGAAAATTCCGAGTACATAGAGCTTATCTTGACTTGATGCAGATTCACAGGAAGACCACTGTCTTTTCACCTCTGGGCACTTGATATCCAGCGCAACATGGATTTGGCATTTTACTTGAGTGGTACTGTTTTCTTGGTTTGATTGGATGTTTTCGTCGGTTTTTAGACACACACACGGTTGTCGTTATTCCATTAATCCACCATGCCATACGGGCGAAGCTATGAACCGTCTCCTAATCGTGAGCGACGCGTACGGCTCCCTGTTAATTCTAAAGCCGAATCCGTCATTGGACTACGGTGCCATTCGATATGGTATCAATTACATGGACAAAACAAATCTCGGCGATGTCTAAACAATACCAAATCAAATCGGGTCCTTACTGAGTAATCACGATCAAGGCACCACTGAATTGCCTATTGGTACTCAGGTGCGCTGCGAGGAACTGGAGAACGGACGTTTTACTGGTCCCATGCAGGGTCTTACAGTTCCAAATCAACTTGGACCTATGCGAAATCGATGGCGATCCGCTAACTTGCCGGACTTGGTGTAACCAATACATCGAGCGGGGTTCACCTAGCACATGGAATCAACTAAGCAGGTTCACTGTTCACGCGAAATGTCTAAGTACCAAATCTTATCCATAACGCATGTGGATAAACGAAGCGATGTCGATGACACAGGGTCAGAGAGTATAGATCAGAACACGCGCGAGGTGCGCGTTTTCGACGATGAGAGCTAGTCTGGGCTGGGCTTGATAAACGAGCCAGACGTGCCAGGTTGACGAAACGCCGGTTACAAATAGAGGGTGTGGATGTTGCTCTTGTTCTGATGTGGGAATTTTTTGTTTAACTGCGTTAGCGTCCATTAAAACAGACAGTGAATAAGCGTTATTACCGAGGACACTACTGTCGCAAATCTCAGTCCTTCAGGGACAAACGGTTTGTTCGACAAAGCAAGCTCAGCATAACCAGCATGTAGAATCCTCGATGTAAATAACTACCAACAATCCTAGGTTAAAACCTCATTTCCACTGTAACCTGGCTCATTTATTCGAATCAAAATAGAAGTACTACAAATGGTCACCCAGTTCTTTCGATGGCGCTGAAAATCACACATTCATGTGGGCTTGGCACATACCGATTGGAAATTGGCTTCACAGTCAACGTATGAAACTCAAACAGGGCTGGCTGCAGTGTCCCGTGAATTACGCATGTCCGGACGTACACCAAAACCAGTCGATCGATACCAACCTACATGAATCAAGTTTTCCGACGAGAGGTGGTGTTGTGTTTCGTTACCCTAGACTTATCCTGATTGGTTGAACTTCGCTCAATGCCGAATGATCAATTGGCTGTCTTTTAAGTTGAGTCCCGTTTCATTCTGAGCGGTTGTATGTTCAACATGCCTCCTACAATATACTACTGCTACCTTTTCGTTCTTCTGATACAACATAGCCTACATTCACGGTGAACTAAAATATCACAAGTAGTTCCACACTGGCTTACGTTAAGCACTTCTTAGCTGAAATAGTTACATCCGTCTTTGTGCTGTTCATACTTTCCCACATGATACATTTCTATTTTGCTGACAATCTTTCCCTTTTATGTTTCACCGCCGGACGTGCTTGCCAAAGACGACATTTAGAGTTTTCTTGTTATAAAAACGGGTTTTCCAGAGATGTTACGGCTCAGAGCCGATTTGATTAAATGCTATCAACTGGACAATTCAAACGGCTGTTTCGATCGATCAGCAATGGCTGTCTGAATTGTCCAATCGATATCAAGCAATCAAGTCGGCTCTGAGCTGTAAGCGTAACACACCTTGGAAGACCCAGCTTTCCCTACGCTCCTCTTTATTGTGCATAAAGAGGCACTCCTCTGTTTAATTTCTATGTTAGCTCGAAGGGGCAGGAAATTAACCTGACCCATGCTAACCTCGAAATGTAGTAACAGTCATATGTTCGTGTACGTTTATTACCCTGTCATTTGTGGAGTAAAAACAAAACTAATGCAACTTTCCGACAACCATTTCGTCACATCGCAGTACAATCTGCTTTTTGGATATATGTTGGCAACAATCTAATGAACAGACCTTGGATCATCAAAAACAATGAGATTCTGGAGTCACGCTTATCGTGAAAGAAAATCGAACACTATACAAAATAGCCCATGGTTCCTTCGGAGGACACACTAACACCTGATTGCCTAAGCCGAACAATGGAGTTAATTTAGGGGACACCACTCCGAATCTTGGACTGAATAGCCTACTAACAAAGTAGCAGACCTCCGTCACAGAATTGTGCCCATTGAGAGCCGGTGCCTGATTCCTTAGTTCATGCGCCTTTGGTGCGGTCAGTTGCCAAACGGGGTCTGCTACACCCTCTGATGTCGACATCCATCCGCTGGGCTACAATGTTCCGCTGGGACAAAGCAAGTGGCAGTGGCTTTATTTAATAGCGAATCACATCAGTCACGTCGCAGCACTGTTAAACGGATGTTTGTGGCTCGTTTAAAACGAATGCTAGCCAGACCAATGCCCGGCACGTCCTGAAAAGATGCCACCGAGCGCTATACCTAGACGGCGTAATCCTGAACCATGCAGCTTGTTATAATTGAGGGAACGCCGCCTCTTGAGATAATTGCGTAATTGCCTGATAAGAGTGTCGCTGGCACGCCTACGATGACGGCTTGTTACGCTGACCACTCGAACGGAATTGCGCTGTCCTGATGACGC